GAGCTTGTTCGGGGGGGGGGGGGGGAGAGAATGCGGGCTTTGATCCTGCCCAGGAGGGCTGCGTGGGGAAAGGCCGTGGTGCCTCCGGTTTGGGAGCGGCCGGTTCAGCGTGGTTCCATGTGCCACCCACGCTGTGGGTGGGTCAAACGTGGCCCGGCAGCAGGAGCCATTCGCTCCAGCCGCTTGCTTATGTATTGGGATTTTTTTAGTCGCCACTCACCCAGGGGGTCTCGCGGCGACTTACGGCACTGAAACAACTTCATAGACAACTGAAACAACTTCGTAATAAGTTGTTCCAGTGATTTCAGATGTCGGAACAGATCCCAGAAACAGTTGTTCCTGCAAAACAGAGTTGTTCCGCAAGGGCCTACAGTTGAGGCCCGTACTAGTCCCCTAGGCAGTAGGCTATAGTCTGGCCTCACCCCTCCTTCCTCTTCCTCCCCTTGCTACCCCCCCTCCCTTCTCAATTGTGCTGTATATTAACCCCCCCATATGAATTTTATGCCATCTTGATTTTTACAGAAATTGTCTTATCGATTTTACCATTTTTATGGAACTGAGAAGTTATATGTTGTATTTATAAGGTTTTATATTGTATAAGACATTGTCACCTGCTCTGAGCCGGTCTTGGGGAGAGCAGGCTATAAATGGAATTAAATAAGTAAACAAACAAACAACTTAGAAACCCAGCAAAAATCAGATCATGCAAGTAAGATGCGATGACCACTATCAAACCAGCCCGGAAAATCCAGTTAACTTCGAAAGGCCAACCTGGGCAATTCAGCCTTGCAAGCTCTGTGGGAACTAAGCAAGTGATGTCATCAGAGAGCGTGTTCCATAGGATAGGGGCCACCACCGAGAAAGCCCTTTTCCTGGGAACATCTGCTAACCGAACTTAAGGGACTTCCGCTGCACTTGATTGGTCAGATACTGGTGGTTGCCATGCAGTGCTTTCACATACACTAAATGTCGCATTTTCAGTTCACTTTCAGTGCACTTTGCAACTCGATTCCACTGTGTGAACTGGCAACATCCACTTGCAAACAGTCACTGAAGTGGACCGGAATTGCGTTATTTTGTGTGTGTGAAAGCGCCCAAAGGCACTGTCCACTGTAGGAAACTGCTTTTGGAATCCCATCTCTGTCTCTCCTAGCCTCGGCTCGGTTCCTGCGAGGAGGGACGTTTCGTCCGCCGTGTCCGTAGGCAGAACGCTGTTGTGTGTCAGCAACCCAAGTTGGCCGTCTGCCCCACTGCATTGTGGGAGCGTGTTTGCCTTTGTGTGTCTATCGGCCTTGGGTTCACGCAAAACACACCCTTCAACATTACGGCTGTTTCTCATGGAACAGAGAGAGAGAGAGAGAGAGAGAGAGAGAGAGAGAGAGAGAGAAGTCTTTGTCAGGGAATTCTAGCTGAGTCTTCACCTGCTGGTGGAAGACAGTAACGGAAGGGGACAGGCGAATCTCCCTGGGCCGAGAGTTCCAGAGTTTTGGTGCCACAGCCAAGGAGGCTGCCTAATCTCAGAATGTGGGGCGCCCAAAGCAGGGCCTCAGGAAGACGACCGTAGTGGTCGGGTAAGATTTGTACCTTTGGTCGCACAGCGAAGAGACTTGTGCTGTGGTGGCCGGCTGCTGCCCAAGCGACGTTTTTAAAAAATCTGCACAGCCAATCATAGCTCCAGTGGCCAATCAGAAGCCCCACTTGGCCCCGCCCACTTTCTAAACACACTTAACGGGCACCAGGAAAGGTGTTGGCTGACAGCATGGCGCC